TCCGAGAGCACGCACAAGATCTGGGAGCGCTTTCGGCCCTACAAGAAGCACCCCCGCGAGGAGGTGTACGTGGCCGCGGGCCACGCCCTGCGCAAGAAGGTCCAGTTCGCCAAGGACGAGGACCTGCACGACATCCTCGATTACTGGAAGGGGGTCTCGGCCCAGCAGAAGCTGTGACCCTCTCCTCCCCGGTGAGGTCGGAGGGGAGGGAGTCGGGGGCGGCAGGGCCCGAGGGGGAGGGCCAGAGGGTGTCCTCCTCCCCCCTGGGGTGACGGGCTGACGGAGCAGGGCCCCCCACCCCACCCACCCCGCGGCAGGAGGGGACGCACACGCACACCCGCACACACGCACCATGCACACACCTGACCACCACCTGACTGTGAACCAACCAACGCCCGACATTAAGGGACAGGAAAACAAAGACACGTTTTCCTTAAAGTTTACAAACTGATGCCGAAACCAGTTGTCTTTACTGTGCTGCCCAGGGACTCCGCTGCGGGGGGCGGGGCAGGAGGGGACAGGGCCTCGAGGCTGTGGGGCCCACAGGGCATCTGGGAGGCAGTGACCGGTTGGTGGGGGTAGGAGCCAGTGGCTGAGATGGGTGAAGAGTGCCCACCCCCAGCTGGGGGACAGGTCACCTGCAGGGTTAGCCCCAGAGGGCCTTGGGAATCATCCCTTGAGATGGAGGCCCAGAGGGAGGCAATTATGACCCCGGGGTCATGTGACAGCTCAGAATACCCGCCCCCCACCCCACCCCGCATCCACCAACCACCCCCTTCCAAAGCTGCTGTCTCCTGGGGGTGGAGGGAGCTGAGAGTCAGACCGGTGTTTGTCCGTTTAGAAAGCCCCAGAGCTGAGGTTCATAGTCCTGATGGACCCCTGGCTCCATAACAGCACCCAGGAGAAGTGGGGGGGGTCCTCCTGTCAGGAGAGGAGCTGACCAGGGCGACAGTCCACTTGCCACCTTCCTGTGCCCTTGCGAGTGGCCTCGGGGCCTGGGGAGAGCCAGGGGCCCAGGACCAGGTCCCAGGACCCTCACCCAGAGAGCAGCAGGGCCTGTGATGGGTGGGAGAAACAGGGAGGTGGTTATGAGGGGGGCTTCCTGCCCATGCCCCCATATCCTAGCTTCCTCTCTGCCAGACTCCCATCATGGGATGGAGGGGCACTACCTGAGCTTGTGGGGAATGAGGGGCCAGCAGGGTTTTCCCACCCACCAACTCTGGGCTGCCCTAGCTGCCCCACCCTGGCTCAAGGGGCTACTTGTGTCCAGGGTAATGCTTTCTCCTCATTCTGACACCCACCCCCTAAGATCTGAACAAAGCACAAACAGTGAGGTCCCCTCCCCTGAGTGGGGAGCAGCCTGGGTTCCTGGTGCCCTTCCCCCTCCTGGGCCAGCCTCTGTCTCCATGGCAACCTGCTGGCTGGCAGTTGGTACCCAGAGTTTCCGTTGGGCTGAGGGGTTCTCAGTGTGGGTGGCAGGGCGGTGAGGAAGGGCAGGACTCCAGGACCATGCTGCCTTTCAGCTGGGCCAGAGGGCCAGGCACAGGGACTGTGGGGTCCCCCACCATACCCAGGGGCCAAATTCTGGGCCCTTGACCTTTGCTTGGGAAGTGAGCCACCGAGGGTTGGGGCAAGGGGACAGCTACTGGAAGCTTTGTCCACCTGTGCCCACCCCACAGGCTCTCACCACACCCATGCCAGGGTCCTCTGCTCTAGCCTGTCACCCACTTGGTCTTCTTGAGATTGGGAGGAATGTGGTGTGGGATGAGGGGGTGAGCACAGGGAAGGGAACGAGGGGTGAAGGGGACTGCCTAAGTCAGGGCCATCACCCTGGAGGCCCTAGCACCTTTCTGCTGGAGCTGGGCTGGGACAAGGGGACCCGGGCTCAGCGGGGGGCCTCCCTCTCCCTCCCACTCACTGTGGGCACAGGATCAAGCCTGGGGCTCCCTGGGGGGTGACATTGGCAGAGAAAGGACTGTTCTCTGGGGATGAGGAGTGGCGGGGGCCGCCAGACCGTGCAGAGCCGCCCCCACCCCCGGCCTGTCCCCCACCCCCTTCCCACACTCGATGGCGAGCCGGCCGGTGGTGACGGCGGCCAGTGTGCGGACCCAGGCTCCCTGTTCTATTTGCATGACGATTTTACTGTATTTTCTGAGCAAACATCTGTCGTGTATGTGCCAGTTTGTCCAGACGCCCCTGCCTCCCCCTTTCCCAAACCCCTCTGTGGTGACCTGACAAGCAGCTCTTGAAATCAGGGCTGGGGGATGGGCACGGGGGCCAGCTCTGCAAAAGACCCCAAAACAGGTGCCACCAATACACACCCCGCCCTCACCCACCTCCTGTCATTCTGGGCTTTGAGCCCACAAGTGCCCTCCACCCCCTTGCTCTGTCTTCCTGCCCCTTGGGCACGGCCCCACCTCCAGTTTGGGCCTCACCTCTCTGAAGAGGAAGTGGGTGACTTTCCAAGAGAGGTGGCTTTCTGGCAGGGGACGGGGGACAGGCGGTCACACTGCTGAGGACAGGTGGCCGAGAGCGGAGGGGCTGGCGGGTGGGAGCAGCTCCCAGTGGGAGGTTCGAGGCCCTGATCCCCACTGAGTTTCAGGGAGGACCCCAACAGCTGAGAGGGAGCCCACCCCTGCCACTGACCCATTGTTCCTGATCGAAGATATCCTATAGACCTGATTTTAACAGCAAGGCCCCTGAGGCAACCAGGACACCCCTGCCCACGCCACCCCCACCCCCGCACATCACTGAGGCCAAGAGGGGTCTACCACTCAGACCCCCTTCTTCCAGCTGCCCTGGCTGAGCTGCAGGCTCTAGGGGAAGTGGACCCTGGCACTTAACCCCTCCCGACTGCCCCCTCTCCTTGTTGTGCACCCTGGTGGGCAAAGAGTAAGGAGGAATCAGAGGGAAAAATGTACCTGAAAGACACATGGGCAGGAAGGCCCAGAGGCCTTGCCTGCCTGTGTATGTAATGGCAGTGAGCAGGGTGGACTGGGGGGCATAGGGCTGGTGGCTGGTAAGGGGAGGAGGGAGTGGGCTGCATGGAGGGTAGGAAGGGGAGGGGTGGGTGGAGACCTTGGTCCTCTTCTGGGTAGCCTCCCCCGCTGCCTTCAGACCCATGAGGTCAAGGCTGGAGCCCCCCTGTCCCTGCCCCCTGGAGCAGGTACTGAACTCACTGGGAAGGGCTGGCCTGGCTGACACTGTGGAATCTTAGTGGCCTTTCAGAAGCTAAAGGGGTGGGGAGGAAAGTCAGCTTACTCAGGAGCTAGGGACCCCTCATCAGAGGTCCTCACCCCTCTCTCTGCCCCAACCCTGTGCCCCTGCCTCAGGGATGGCATGGGACGGGTGCTGGGGAGGCCTGGGTCGGCGGGGTGCTACAGCTGCTGAAAATGAAGACAAGCAGCAGAAATGGGGGACAGGGCATTCCCCGGGGTTCCCCGCTGATGGCAGGCAGGGCTGAGGCCAGGAAGGGACCACAGGGAGGTAAATGGTTTACAGTGAAGGGACAGACCCCAAGCTTCCCTTGGGTGGGGGGCACTCTGTGGGGTCACCTCACCAGGGGTCAGAATGGATTTAGAGGCAGTGGGCTTCAGACTGTGTGGTGGGGAAGGGGGGTGCAGTGGGCTGGTTCAGCTGGGTGGAGTGGCAACTGGGTGGCGGGGAGAATGGGGAGGTGGTTCTGAGGTCTCTTCGTGGGTGTGCCCACTCTCAGTGAGCCTGCTGTCCAGCAGTCCCTGGCAGGGCAGGTGGCCTCTCCTGATGGTGGCGGGTGGGTGGGCTGGGCCAGGCTTGGGGAGCCCCGGCTGACCCCATCCATGCTCATGGTCCCTTCTCCTAGCTGATAGGCTCCTGCCCTGTGAGCCCCACCCCTTTGTGACTTGAACCCCAACCTCAGTCCAGGAGAGGCCCCTCCCAGGGCCTCCACCCCTGTGATTATATTCTATTTCACTTTGCACCCTTCCTGACCCCTCCATCTGCCCCCTTTCAAGGAGAAATCCACACTGGCACCACAAGCCTCTCCACACTGCTTCCAAGGCCAAGGGCAGCTGCTCAGGAGCCAGGCACTGGGGAGGGCAGGCCTAGGGGTGGGGGGTGGGGTGGCCTGCCTGGGCCTCTTCTTCCTCCTCCACCCCCCATGTGCTTCGGTCCAGCAAGCCCAGGATTGGGGCAGGGGCAAGGAGGCGGGAAAGGGTGGACAGTGCCAGCTCCCTCCCTGCCTCCCTCCCTCCAGGAGGTGTCGCCACCCAAGGGTGCTGTGTCTGGCACTGGCTTTGGGGCCTGCAGAGCTGGACTCCGAGCTCGAGGGTGAGGGTGGGTGGACCTGTGAGCCCAGCTTGGGGGGTGGGGGGGCAGAACACTTCCCTTCTCATCTTTTCAGCAGGTCACTTGGTTCATTTTCTCCACTCTCTCTCTGCTCCCCTCCTCCTGCCCCCCACCTCCCCACCCCAGCCACCATTCCTGTTTTAAACTTAATGGCACGAAGTCATTTTCCTCAAATCGGAGATTCCTGTATGGAGAGAATCAATTTCTATATTTGCAATAAATTTCTTATTTAAAACGAAGGGGCCAAAGTCTGTGTTCAATGCTGGGCACCCGGGGGTGAGGGTGGGGATGGAGGTGGGGGCCCTGCAGGTTCTGCCATTTCCCCTCCCTCACTCTTGGGCACCCTCTGGGGATGGGGCCTGCTGGGTCACCAGCTAGCTTCTGGTTGGGCTCACCTGAGCGGGGACACGTCACCCCAGAGTTGGGAGATGGCCTCTAGGGGATGGCTGGACAAAGGGCTGGGGAGCACGGAGTGAAAGGTCACTGCAGGCCCTCCCCCGCTACCCGACCTCACTGAGGATCTGAGGGCCCCCTTCACCCCTTCCTGGTGGCCAGGCCTCCCTACCAACCCTGGATTCACACCCTAGTTGTAGAGGGTCAAAGGTCAAACCCCTCCACTTCCCTCTTCATCTCAGTTTGTCCCTGGGGGCCAGGGCCCTGGGTGCTATCTCCCAGCATCCCCCAGGCTCCCCTCCTCCTGCTTCTCCGCCCTGGAGTGAAGGGTTAGGGTGCGATCGACCAGGCCTCCTCCAGGCCAGGCAACCTGCCTGCCCCCCAGCCTGCTGGTCTTTTCTGCACAACTCCGAGCACCCCCCTCTAATGACTTCAAGCCCTGGCCAGCCAGCCTAGGACGAGCCACTGGTCCTGTGAGATGACTTGCAGGC